GTATGTATGCTATATGATTGTATGGTATGTGGTACGATGGGGGAAACTCACTAAGCTTCGTGCTTACAGTTTATAGTTTTGGTTTCAGGTACCTCTTCAGCGAAGGGGAAAGAGCTGGCGCGGTAGCAGCACATCATACACACTCGCATTGATTTTCCGCATTTGAGATATTCTGGGATTGTACTCTGACATGATGCTATTTTATGACTTGGGTTTTCAGACATAATATATTTTATGTGGTTTTTCTTATGAATGCTTTTTATAATCAGTTAATTAAAATGAAATTTTTGGACTCGAAATTTGGGATGTTACAGTACTTCTAGGGTTCTTGATGTTCAATAGTTGTTTGCAAATCTTAGTGAGAACATAGATCCTTTAGGGTGCATGTAAACTTAGGGTTTATGTTTTTCCACCTAAAATAGATTTTTTGTAACATATAAAACCCATCAGTGACCCCACTGCATAATCACTGCACCCAATCCTATGATAGAAGCATCACAATAACCACGAAGTCGACAACACCCTCGGGCAGAGTCAGGATCATGGCCTCGTACAATCTTTGCCTCAGAGTCTCAAATGTTGCATGTTGCTCAGTCCCCCAACGGATGGTAGCCATCTTCTTCGTCAACCTGGTCAACGGAACTGTGATGCTGGATAAATTCTCAATGAACCTCCGGTAATACCCTCCTAGGCCAAGGAAACTCTGAATCTCGGATGGAGACCTTAGAACCTCCCACTGTATCACAACCTTGATCTTGGCCGGATCGACCAATATACCCTTCTGATTAACGAGGTACCCCAAGAACTGCACCTCGTATAACCAGAACTCACATTTGGAGAACTTATGTGGGATGTAGAGTTATTGGTATGAGATGTAGGTGTTTGGAAAGGGGGAGGTTCATCTAGCTCACGATAGTAGTTCTGTTAAGATTCTGCTTGCTAGAAATAAGTGAGTTTTGTCACTATACTGTGTAGGATGCTAGACTTTCTTTACGACTCTTTCATGTGTGTATGTATATTAGGCGAGGCCCGTTGGGTGATACTCATTATGCATGTTAGGTGAGGCTCGCTGGGTGAGACTCGTTATATTATTGTGCGAGGCCCATTGGGTGAGATGTGTTATGCATGTTGGGCGAAGCCCGTTGGGTGAAACCCCATTATCCCTTATGTATGTTGATAGAGGCCCATTTGTATGCTTCGGTAATGCCTGTATTGGTATGGGGTATCTTGGAAAACTCACTAAGTTTTGTGCTTACGGTTTTAAGTTTTAAAAGTTTCAGCTACTTCTTGTAACAAGGGGAAGAGCCATGCTTGATTGCATCGCATCCACTGGAGATTTTGATATTTTTTGTTTTTTGATGTTTTTCCTTCACTATGATGTTTTGAAACTATACCTTATTACTCCGATGATCTTTAAGGATATGTTATTGAATGGTTTTCAATATATTAAAAATGAAAATATTTACTCTATATTTTGGGGACGTTACAAAAAGTTTGGAGTTTGGATTAACGAGGAAAAGGTTAAGGAAGGTTTGAAGATTGCAAGAGAAAAGGTGCCGACGTGACTTTGTGATTAAGAATGGATGTTTTGGTAGATGCTTACTATTATTTTATTTTATTTTTTTTTGGTGGGGATAGAAAGTGATGTAATTGTTTGTTTAATATATATAAGAATTTTGTTCTGTTTTGTTAATGATGAATATTTTGTGTTTCTTATGCTCATTTAGACATTATAATATATATTTTTAAAATTAATATTTATATCTTATGTTTGCATTTAAAGTTAACATTTAACAATTTTTCTATGTGTATCTGTATCATATATTTCTCACTTATTTTTTAATTTTTCTTCTTGCATATATATATATTATGATCAAACGAACATCAAATTTATAATTTTATCATGTAGGCAATTTGGTTGTGATTACAAATGGCGAACAAATGCATATGAAATTCACAAATTATGACAAGATTTTAGTGATGAAAAATTAGCAGCCTCAAAACAATGAGTAGCACAATGTCGAGCATTCACCTGATTAGTAAGTAAGATGCATTGATAATAATCTTTTTAAGCATCTTGTTATGTTTTGCTCTTACTCCTTTTTATAAATTTTCAAATGGCTAGTATTGAGTTATAGATTATCTCTATACCTTATGCAAGTCATTAAAGAACTTGAAACTTTTTACTAGCTTAAAGGTCTCGATCCAAGTTAAAATTTGCTTAATCAACAAGTTAGAATTGATTGTCAAAATGAAACCACCCACAACCGCTGTAATGCATGGGCATTATATATATATATATATATATATATATATATATATATATATATATATATATATATATTAAAAATGAATTGTTGGTATAAAATTACCGTGGTTTTTAAAACTTTGTATTATTATTATTCAATTGCTATGGTACACTACCAAATATGCTAGCTATCGAACATACTGGTAACCAATATATTTGGTTTGTTTGGTAACATATCGGTTAATTTTACCTAATTAAATGGGAGACCAAAATAGGATTGTAAAGATTTAATTTTCATTTAATTAATTGTTTTGTAAATAAAAAGAATATAAAAGTGGGAATTTTTTATTTGGGCAACCTAAACAAAAATATAGCGATTTGTACACAGTACTTTTTGGATATACACAACAATCTGTGCATTAAATAGTTGTACTATACAATTGTATATAACATAAATTATTATGTATGACTAAAAAGTGTTGTGTACGGTCATCACACAAACAAAAAAGGAAAAGTGGATTTGTGTTTGACAAATACCATAAAAAAAACTCGTAAATTTGTATGTTTTGTCGGTTTTACTTAAAGTTGTGTTTTTGGTTTATTTATACCTCAAATTTGCAACTTTTTTTTTAATTTTATATTTTTTATAAATTTATCCGGTAAAACTGATTTTCTTTTGACAAACTTAAGGGCTTTAATGGAAAAGAAAAAAGAAACCAAACATTTATACCAAAAAACTAGACGAATCTCCGCGCGTTGCGCAAGAATATATTTATGTAGTTTTTTTTAATGACAAACACACATCCACACAATTATTTAATCATTCTCATAATTCTATAAATTGTGATTTAATATTTGTAAATTGAAAAACAATGTTAATAAATGTATATAAAACATATATTGTTTTTTATATATAACGAATAACAAATAGTATAAAAAATAAATATTTGATGATTTTATTGATCATTTTAAGGTTTGTAAATTGTATATAAATTGTATGTTAATTTATGTATTTAATGAATAACAAATATATGAAAAACATAAATACTACAACTTTTATCAACATAAAAAACGATACAATGTCTACTATAGCATTTGAAACAAAAAAATCTTATTAAACATTGATAAATCATAAAAAAAAAAATATAGAAGACACACACACACACACAAACATATATATATATATATATATATATATATATATATATACACACACACACACACAGAGAGACACATACATACATACACGCTATTAAAATAATCATATCGCTATTATTAACTTTGAAATAATTATATTTATACGAAGTTGATATAAAAACTTATTATAGCATGTTTGATGCCTTTAAGGAATACAACAAAAAATTATTAATAACATTAAACTAATTATGAAAAAATACTTATTGTTCCAAGAAAAATCCGCATAGTAATAACCATGATGCGGAAAAAGCACTCTTTTTTGCAACTCTTCATATTTTAATTAAAAATATCTTAAAACACATGATTGTTTGTGAGAAAACTTATTTATATATTAGTAATACGGATACAATGTATATAAATGAGAGGAAAAGAAAAAGTCACTACCAATTACTAACCATAAGTTACAAAAACTTTTGAGTTGTAGTGATTAATAACTTTATGAAAATCATAAGTATACATAAATTAGAAAACTCTTTTGTTGTGAAAATTTCAAATGAATTTGATTTCATGTATATATATATATATATATATATATATATATATATATATATATACACACACACACACACGCTATTAAAATAATCATATCGCTATTATTAATTTTGAAATTATTATATTTATGCGAAGTTGATATAAAAAAACTCATTATGACATATTTGCTGCCTTTGAAGGCATACAATAAAAAATTATTAATAACATCAAACTAATTATGAAAAGAAAAAAACTTTGTTAAGTTTGTAAACTTCTCATTTTAGACCACTTCATATAAGATTTGTACAACTTGCTATAACGATGGACTTGAAATTAAGCTTTTATGATACAAATTATGTAGCATATCAATATACTTAACATGTATTGCTTTAATCAATTACAATATGTGGTTCAAACAACCTTTTATACATGTACAAATGTAAATATAAAAGGAAACAAAAATCTAAGAAAAAACAAAGCATATTGAAATATTCATAACAAAAACGAAGAGATAAAAACAAATAGGCTAATGATAATGTTCTCACATGTAACTTCGAAAATTGCAAACCACAACTCGAATTGCACATCACTACTGGAAAAAAATATAACACAATCAAACTATGAGTAAAAAATGATACATTCATCCACAACCTTGACTTGTAGAGCTCTTTTAGGGACTCCCATAACTGCTAATATGTTCTAAAAGAATTGTGCCTATTGAAAATTTTTTTCTTTTTATTTTCTTATGACATGCTTTTTACATGTAAGAGTTTATATAGCATGTTTGATGTTTAATTATAAATCAATTATTTAGAAGACATTTGAAAAATCATTTGAGAATATGAAAAGAAAAAGGAGTTTCAAATCAATATGATGCTTAGAAATATTGTCATTTTAGAATATGAGAAGATAAAAAAGTTTCAAATCAATTGATGCTTATGGCATCTCCAACCCACCCTAAAACTCCATTTCTTCTCCCATTTCTTCCCCCATTCTTCTCCAACCTTACCCCATTTTCACCTTTATTTTTGGAGATATGAATAGTATTCCCCCATATGGGGGAATATTATTCATATCTCCAAAAATGAAGGTGAAGTTTGGTTGCCAATTTTAGTCCCTCTCATTTTTATTTTATACATTTATAGTTTATTTTATCTACTAATTATAATTTAAATGCAATATTTAATATTTATAATATTATGTTATATATTAATTTATATTAATTAATCATAAATATAGAGATTAATTAGTAGAGGGATGTATTTGACAATATATATAAGTTATAAAAATAGAATATTTTAGAAATATATTTTTGGGAAAAAAATGGGGTAGAAAATGGAGTAGGGTTGAAGATGAATGACTGTTTACTTTACTTTTTACTCCAGTGAAAAATAGGGATGGGTTGGAGATGGTCTTAGAAAAATATTCTTTAAATATAACTTTTGTGTTCTTCTGTTTTTGCGATCGAGAGACGAAAATCTTTGTTTTTGTTGTGTGCGAATGAGAAGAAGCAGCTGGCAGAGGCGCAGGAGAAGGCGACCACGGCGGCGTCAGCAAGCCCTAGGTGGCAGGAATTGTGGTAACCACTCATCCACAACTTTTGATTTTTGCTAATTTTTACAGCCTTGAGTTTGAGGTAATTTATTTGTAGAAACCGTGATATCGAATCAAATAAAAATCAAGACTTTTTTTCAAATCAATTTCAATATGCGTTATATATGGTAATAGATAGTATTCCAAATTTAATCCTCAACTTTATAGAGTTTATAAGAGAAGATGAAACCGAAATCTTTCAGGATCGGAATTAGCCGACCACCATCCCTAGCCTGGTTGTTCGTACTACACCAAGTTGGCCAATATCTCTCCGCCGATTTCCACCGCATTTTCACCGGAGTAACCCAACAACTCAGCCGGTAACTCTTCCGCCTTTATCCCATCTTATTGTTTGTTGTAATCTGTTAGTTTGACCCTAACTTATACAAACTATAATCTTTTGGTTTGATGAAAATGAAATCATATTATTTTCGATAACCTAAAAGTCTTTGTTTCTGTAGATTCCTTGATCGGTGTCGGCCAGGGGTTAGAGTTGCTGTACTGGGACCAGTAATATCTCAAGTTTTGCATAATAATTTTATGTCGATTCTTAGTAGGTGGAATTTACAAGATTTGATTTTATGCTAAATTATGCAATATATATATATGTATATATATATATATATATATATTATATATATATATATATATATATATATATAATATATATATATATATATATATATATATATATATATATAAGTAACAGAGTTTTTGTAACTTTTAAAAATGAACTTTTAGCTCCATTCGTCAAGATTATCACATATCTTATTCGACTACTGGTAATCAGTCTTCTAATCTAAAGAAACCATAGATGCTTTTGGAATGAAATCATTGAATAATTCAAATGATTAAAGCCATTGAATGTGATTTCGATGCTCCACCAAAAACTTAATTGTGGGATTATTATATATGGAAATTGCATAGTGTGATCCTGTCAGAAAGGTTAGTTCTTGTGTCACTTTAGGCAACAAAAAAAATATTATTTGGTAGTATTTTACTAAAAGAAACCGATAAATGACTTGTTATTTTGTTCTCTATATTTTGGAAAATATAGAGAATTATAATAGAGAAAATTGTTTTATGGTACGATGTAATTGCTATAATTAGATGATTTTTTCAAACTATAATGTTGTAATAGGAAGAAATGAAAATATGATGCTATAAGATATAACTTAGTGAAACTAGGTTGCTATTTCTTGCATTTGACTCTAGTTTTATTTTTTTAGTATTAAGTTTCGATATTCATGCCTTTGATAAATGTTGTATGCATATGTAATGTATATATGAGATGGACTAACAAGATTTCTAATTTTGCAGATAACCGTTCATATCATAACCCATATAAAGTGAACCGAGTTCTTCAAGAAAAAGGAAACCATGGTTTCTGCCACTCAATTGCAAAGACAGTATGCCGAGTATACAACATCTTTGTATCATGAGGTTTGTGATGTCTTTTAACTTAGCTTAAATGTAAAAATAGCAATGCGATACAAATGCAAAACAATTTTCACTCCTATAATTGGGTAGGTTTTTTTAAAATAGAATTCCTTAATAAGTAAAACATTGAAAGTGCAATGGTTTAATAGAAAGGAATAAAAGTAGGACGACATATAATATGTTGTTATATCTTGTATTTAACCCTTTAACTAAAAGGAAAATATGTGAATTATGTATCACGCCTTCGAAAAGTGGGAATTAGTATTTCTATTTTTTTATTTATGGATTGATTTTCGGGTGTTTTTTAGGGATATCTTAATGATCAATTCACGCAACTTCAGAAGCTGCAAGATGAGAGTGACCCAGACTTTTTGGTTGGGTTGGTGTCCGTTTTCATAGATGACTCGAAAAAGCTTCTTGACACTTTGACAACTGCTTTGTAAGCTTGTGTAATAATTTCTTATTTCTTTACTTGTTGTGATTGGTTCCTTATTGTTTTGACTTTTGACCAAAAAGTCAACAGAAGACGGTGGATTATAAACAAGTTTCTCTTCATGTTCACCGCTTCAAGGGTAGTAGTTCCAAGTCAGTTTTCTTTCCCCTCTCTCCATTCTCCAGAGACAAAATAGTTGAATTAATAAGATTTTGACAATTTGTTTAATTGGTTTTTGAAACAGCATAGGGGCACAACGACTCATGCGTGTGTGCGTTCTCTTTATAAACTACTGCAAGGAGAAAAATCTTGATGGGTGAGTAATTAATTATAATTATCTTTCATTATTCTAAATATGAATTTAAATTGGTATTTACCGATTTACCCTTCTATAATAGTATGATATACATACATACATACATACATACATATATATATGTTCTTTAATTTAATGTTTTTTTAGCATCATTCTTCTCCTGTATGCTTTAGCTCTCTTACTTGTTAATTTAGATATCAAATTTCTCTCAGTTCTGAAGTTTGATTTTCAAGGTCAAAGTACTGAAATACCCCTCTATTATCAATATCCTTTCTTTGGCTTCTTGTAATTACAGGTGTTTATGGTGTCTTCAGCAAGCAAATCACGAATACATTCTTGTTAGGAGCAAATTCAAAGCCTTGTTTAAGGTACCAAAACATGGTCATTTACGTTTTTACCCTTGTTCATATTTTGACCTACTTTGTCCATGATGTAGTTGGAGAAACAGATATTGAAAGCTGGTGGATCAATCCCTATGATGGAATAGGTTTTTACTTTCCAAAGTATTATGTGATATCGTTACTATTTTTTATCATCTGAAAAACTTGTGGGTTTATACTTGAGATCTCAGTATCAAGTTGTTATGTCTGATTAGAACGTTGTTTCTTGTGTGAATGAGCCACCTTAATTAATGTGTCTTGGAGTCTTGGTGGGGTCAACTGTGATGGTTTGTGGTGTCAGTTTTCTATGGTTTTTTGGATTTCATTTTGCATTAATACTTTGTTCTACAATTTTAATTGATTTGTCAGCGAGATGATATGGTATAATTGTTGTATTAGTTTCTTTTGTTAATGGAGAACAGGTCAAACATCAGAAGTTCATGATCATAAACTTTTGTGATGGAGAACATTTTTAACATCAAAAGTTTAGAAAATATCATACCGGGGTGATGTACAACAATACCAAATGTTAAATGTCACCCATTTTAAGGATAGTCGAACTAATGACCACTTTATTAGGTGGAATATAATGAATTGACAACCATTTCCATGAATAGCATAAATGATGTTGCTTCTTTGAAAACTCGTAAAAATTCGCATTATTATTAGAGTAAATCTCTATCCGAATCGGAGGCTTGAATTGCTTTGCTTGCTTTTTTCCGCTAATATACCATGAAAAGCTATTAAACACATTTTTGGTGTAACATATTTTCACAACATATTATAAGTTGCATTCCACTCAGTATTATTGCCGTAGTTGGGTCCTAATGGAGTTTCATTTTTGTTGTGGTAACATTTTTTTCAAACATATTAGAAGTTCAATTATAACTAGTATTACAGTATTATTTATTGTTGTAGTTAGTATTATTATTCATTGCGTTAGTTACAAAATGGTGATTTTTTTGCCTTTTATTACTCAACCATAAATTATGGATAATACACCTCTAAATTTTAATATTAAGTTTTCGTAAAACTAAGGTCTGGTTTGCACAGTTGTCTTTGATAATATCACATCATGCATGGAAGAAAACACAGCCTAAAATTTGTATTTTAAGTCGGTTAATGATGATATATTTTTTTTTGAAGTGTTATCAAATGAAGTTGAAAAAAGAAATCTAATTTAACTGCTATGCAGATAACCAAACAATTTAAACAAAATGACTCATTTTACCATAACCAAGTTTGCAGGTAGAACCAATGCGTTATGCGCGCCATAACAACTAGGTAGGACTTTATATTTTCATGCCAATCGGTCCAAATGTTACATGTCAAATAAACAACATAATTATAATTTTCAAATCCTAAAATTATTTAATTGTTTGTATCTCATGCAACTTACTGGATTATAACGCGATTGAAGTCTCATTAAGGTAATTTATGTAAGCCATGAGTTGTTGAAATGGTCAAATGGAAGAACTTCTTGGATGACAAACTTTGCAAAAGTTATTCTTACCTTGTTGTGTCGAAAATAAACAAAACAACATCAGATTTGATATTGAAATTGCACTGTTTCACCACTTTGCAAGCACTCTCTGTATTTATTATTATTATTATTATTATTATTATTATTATTATTATTATTATTATTATTATTTATGGTTGTAGAACTTCCCACATTTTTTGCATCGGATTTGATTTTGCTTTGTCGTTCAGAATGCCATAATCAGAATTACACCAAATATATAGGTCTTAGTAAGTTGGTCTAACTTCCACCACATCAGTATTCATATAAAATCTTGATGTTACGTCGGTATTCATATACAATTTGTGAGGATACCATTTGCAGTTTTTTAAATTGAAGAAGGAAGTCAAGAATACAAAAAACTTCGAGAATATTAAGTGCTTTTTAAATATATCTGAACCAATAAACAACTATTTATATTAATTTTAGAGGAGCAAATTATCCATTTAAGGTCCATATATCCTCACAGAATTCAAATATCCTTCTATCTTTTGTTCTTATCAAAAGTGTCAAAATCAAAAAATATGATTAAAAAATTTATGAATTTCATATGTCATTATTTTATATGAGTATATGAGTATGTAAACAGGTACCAAACATTTATTTACTTTTACTTTTTTTATATATAAAATACAGTTATCCATCCAATGACCATATCCGATTTATCTAGTTTCGGATTGGATATTTTTGGTGGATGAAATTGTCTGACAATTGGGTTGGGTTCGGGTTGGCGGGTCACGGGTTAGCGGGTTGGCGGGTCAGAAAACATAAACTCAACCCAACCCATATAATATTTGGGTTGACGTGTTAGTGGGTCACGGGTTGGTGGGTTAGAAACCTCAACCCAACCCAACCCATATAACCCGTTTAAGTATATGGGTTCGCGGATTTACAAGTTAATGGGTCAAACCCAACCCATATAACCCGTTTAATAAATAAGCAACACAGTTTAAAAAATGAGGTTTTTTTAACATAAATTCATAAAATGATTAAAGTAATTAACATAAAAAAAAAGGTTTTCAACATAAATTCATAAATTCAATAACGTCTAAATAAAAATGAAAAATGAAAACATTCATAGAAAGTGGATGTGTTCTTCGTTCGTGACTCGTGAAAATAATGACATATATTTTTTCTTTTTCTGATTAACGAACCACAAATGCAGATTAGTCACATACGAATACGGAAGGAATACAATGATACAAAATATTACGAATACGAATGGAAATCAAATTTCGTTAATAATTAAATATATCATTTTTTTTAAATGTAATATATATATATATATATATATATATATATATATATATATATATATGGGTTGGCGGGTTGACCCGCGAACCCAAACAGATAACCCAACCCAACCTATGAAATAAACGGGTTGGTGGGTTGGCGGGTTGATGGGTTGGCATGTCAAAAATCTCAACCAAAACTCGTCTGTTTTCGGGTTGGGTCAGTGTCGGGTTACGGGTCGGGTCGAAAGTTGCCACCCCTAGATGCAGTTGACATCCATCAGGTAGGACATATCCTATTTAGTTATTATATGACCGGATATTGAAAATCCGAATCAAGTATTTTCCTGGATACAAGAGCTATCCGGTACGTGAACCTGTTAGTTTGGGTTGAGCGGGCCTTCATGGGCTTTTAAACACCTACCTAACTAAGTGAGTGGGTCGAATCTGATTTCCGAGACTGAAACCCTACACTTTGACTTTGATTTTGATCTATCAATTACGAACTTGCGATCATCCTGATTCCTAACTGGATCTCAGAAAATAAATATATTGAAATAGTTTTAAGATCCGACAAAATCTCAACCTTCACCTCAAACGGAAAAATGGCGAAGATCACGATGATGAATTCTCTCCTCTCTCTAGTATTAGTCTTCTTCATAGCCTCATCATCGGTAATTGCCGGCTCCGATTCTCCTTTCATCGTAGCTCACAAGAAAGCTACACTCAACAGACTCAAATCCGGCGCTGAAAAAGTCTCCGTTTCTATCGACATATATAACCAAGGATCTGCGTATGTAGCTTCCACCTTCTTTTCTCGTATTTACTTTACATAGATCTCTTCATGTAGTTGCTCCACAAATTCGATTTGCCATCTGCACATTCCGATCCATATTTTACGCGTTTCGTTGCTTTCTTATTCTATGGATCTGAATAGATCGATGGAATCGTCTATGCTCAAGCCATCTAATTAATTATGGATCCGGTGTTTCTGTTACAATCGGAGATTGATTAGACTGCTATATTCTTTAGCTATGAATGATGAATTAAGCCTTTTAAATTTCTAGCAAGAGATGTTAGTTAAGCTTCCCTTATGTACAATTTTTGTTTCAGGTAGAAAAAAATTGTTAATTTAATGATAAGACTTTGTGGTCTCAATCATTTCGCTATACCATTTAATACAATACAAGTTGGTTCTTTTCGAACTCAGAGAATCTGATCAATTGCATCACCATAACAGTTAACAAGAAAGTGTCTTATGTTTGGTCTTTGATCATCAATAGTTTTCTCTTGCTTTTGCCAAAGATATATTTTGAACTATGGTGAAAGCATTGCATATTTCCTCTTAGAATCTATGCAGAAAGCTTGATGGAGGTAACATTGTTATGCAATTGCAATATGGTCATTGAGAAGATATTTGACCTGAAGCTCATTGTAATTCAAATAGTTCCAGTTATAAGTATAAACTCAATAATGTTACTAATTAGTAAAAGTATATATTAATAACTATGATTGTAGGTATATTTTCATGAAAAGCTACACTTTTGCTGTTTGTTTATATAAGTTTTGACAAATATATCAAATTATTCTTGCCAAATCTTATACTTTTGACATCTTTTTCATTCAGGGCTGCATATGATGTTAGCCTCAGCGATGAAGGCTGGTCTTCTGAGATATTCAGCATCATCTCAGGGAACACTTCAACTTCATGGGAAAGACTTGATGTGTATGTATCATATAATCATATTCTTGAATTGATTTTTTCTTTTCTTGAATTGATTCTCACAATGATTACTTGTCATATTTTCAGTGGTGCTGTTCTATCACACTCGTTTGAGTTAGAGTCAACAGTGAAATCTGTCTTTTACAGCACACCTGCTGTTATTACATTCCGTGTCCCCACAAAGGCTGCACTACAGGTTAGATTCATGGAAATATGAAGTTATTTTATTATTATAATTTATAGTCTTACAATCTTTTTTACTGTTGCAGGAGGCATATTCAACCCCACTTCTGCCTCTTGAAATACTATCTGATAAGCCACGTGAGAATATATTTGATCTTGTAAGTCTTTTACTTTTTAAAACAAATTTATATAAACTGATTTAGAATTGAAATAAATAAAAGTCTTGTTAACTAATAATGCATTGCTGCGTTCTTGTGCATGAATGTGTGCTTTGATGGCTGCTACTCTTTCAGGCTAAGGTATGGAATACACTTTTTTATAAATTACTAGAAAAAATTTGGACAAATGTGAAATGTCGTTTTTAACCCTGAATTAATAACTTACATTATGTAAATTTGCAGAGGTTATTGGCGAAATATGGGTCATTAGTGTCGGTGATTTCCATAGTGGTGCTATTTGTGTACCTGGTGGCAACTCCATCAAAGGCAGGTGCTGCAAAGGGAAGCAAGAAGAAGCGTTGATGATTTGTCAGATTTTAAATTTTAATGTAACCTTTTGTTTTAGACTCAGTTTTTTTGTAAAATGTCTTTAAAGAGATAGTTTGAGAGGCTTTGTAGTCTTATGTTTTCATACATGTGAAAGAGTTAATTACGGATTAATTAATTTTGCAATTGGCATTAACTAGGTGTTGTGTTTTCATTTTCATTGTGAGTTTTATTAAAGACTGTATACAATATGTCTGAAATTCCAAACCTTTTAGACAGGTTTTAACTCGACATTCCTCAAGGCATAACCTGACTAGCTTCAACTTTATATAAGAGAAATGATTGAAATGTATCGTGTTTCACCTTATGGTAACATTTGTAAAACTGATAAGAGTATATTCACTTGCATTACATTCTGTACTTCATGATATGTCAGTGAATAGCTAAATTCTACTACCAAATCCCTTCACATCTTATTATATCTTAGTTGGAGTTTGAAACATTCCTAACTCATGTGGGTGGTCATTATTTCCCACGTGTCGAACTCAACAAAACCCTAGTCATAACAAATGGTCAGGGTGCATCTACGAATTAATGTTTCTTACATGTGGAACTTCTTTCAAAATTTATACTTATGCAACTTCTCTAAAAAAATTTCTACTTATGCCTAAGGAAATTTGGGTCCTAAACTTTCCTCTGAATCGTGTGAATGAAAAATCATTTATTTAGTTATTGATTGCCATTTGGATTTGACATTCTAGACATTCATGATTTTCTCACCTTTTCATCTATCCATAATACCAATAAATCAAGTACTGGTTCTGAATTTCGGTTTAAATCACTTCATTAAATACAATAATCATTTTATTAGATAATATCAAAATAAACACCATTATATCATCATGTATATATTACAAGCAATATACAAATAAATCCCCAACTCCAAGTCATCATTTTCTACCATAACTTGTCTTGGACTCGGTCAGTGGGTCTTAGAAAATCTTCTTAGGTTCATTACAATGTGACATTAAGTCTTATACTTAATACTTACAATCCTACTGACAAAGTGACATTAAGTCTCATACTTAATACTTACAATCCTACGGCCAAATCATTATAATAAATATTTTCCTATTTTAGTCTCAATGGTTAAGGTTTTCATATCTAAGCGGTCATGGAATGTTAAACCGTAGTCGCACCCGATTTAAACAAATAAAAGCAGGGTCGAATCCTCAAGAACACAGCCTAACGGTCAATGTATTTTTGCATCAGGGACAATCTAGTAACAAAAAAAAAATCAGATTATATTAAAAGGGGTTTTTAAATTAAACTAAAAACTAAAATTTGCAGTGAAAATAAACTAAATGAAAATCAATAATAAAAACAATTTCAGTTCTGCTGCGACTTTCTTAATCATGCAATCAGTTCAGATCTGGTTATTTGAGACGCGTTCTATCTAAGCTGATACTGAGAAAAAACTAACAAGCTCTAGAATAATATCTTTTACCTAAATTAGTTAACCAAAACAAGCTCTTTGAATTAACCCTAACTTTTTATTGTTCAATTAAACAAACTATTAATTAAATCAGAAAATCAGCTTTATGATCAGTGTAAAATTCCCAGCAATACCCAATACTTCTCATAAGCTCGAAAGCGTAAAGACATGGTTTTTACAATTTATATCAGAGTTAAATCCCAACACGGAACCAATCTGATACTTGTTACTTTTACCAGTTGACAAGAACAATTACAGATTCTATTAACTGATTATCTGGAATGATAAAAACCTTAGCTAGGTGATCAGACTAACAAGAATTAAAAAAAAACTCAAACATTCATTAAGCTCAAAACCGAAAAATCTGAATAGAAATACAAAACAAAAACCAAATCTGAAAACTAATCACATGAAATGTACTAGTCTATGCAGAACTGAAAACTAAGGTTTTAGCTAGACATAGCTAAAAATGAAACTAAACTATATAAAAGAAACATTAACCAAATAATCTTCTAAACTAAACGAATGAGATGATTCGCAACCTTCAGATCTACAGAAGTCGCTGAAAGGTATCAGAAATCGTCTTCAGAAGGGTATTATACCGTCCGGAACCGTCTAACCTTCGGATATGATAATAAGGGTCGCATTTATATGCGAGACGGAAACTTCCGGAGAAAGAAACCAAAAAATGCGATCGTAGATTCTGAAAATGTGACTGCGAATTTCTAATTTTTTTTTTCTAGATTTGCCCCTGAATGATGCAGGATGCTATTTTCGAAGTTTTCGGGACTTCGAGCCATTTATGCGATCGTAGATATGGGTTTATACGATCACATTTTTTCAAATATTTTCCAGAATTGTGTTTGAATGAAGTACGGAGCCAAATTTGAAGTTTCTGGAGTTGGGACAAGAAAATGTGATCGTAGATATGGACATATGTGATCGCCGGAATCGTTTTTTTTCCTTCAGATGGTTTCCAAATGACTTATTTTGACCCTGGAAAACTTCGTGGCAAAAGTGCGATCGTAGATCTGTGTTTCTGGCTCGTTTCAGACGCGATTCTTCAGTTTAAGCACTCCTTGTTATTCCTTAGCATCTTTCTCCAGTTCAAGCTTCATTTAAGCTCTAAACATGCACCCAGCTGCTCCCAAAGTACTGCTCTACTTGAAATATCTGAAAAAAAACACAAAAATGTTAGCAGTATGGGAATTCTGATAAAAGACATGAGCTAAACATTATTTAAAAAAAATGTCATGCAAATGTACAAAATATGATGCTAAATGCTAATAAAAACTACCTTAAAAGATGCATAAAATGACATCTATCACGTAATATTCCTATGTATCAGTCAAGAATGTATTCACATAAACTTATGTGTCAATACCAACCTGAAACACCTCAAAATTTTCGGGCTAAATGTTTGCCAACTTACCTTCCGAGGACAATCTTGTTATTATATTACATGACAAACCCTAAAAATTATACATATACAACAATACACACTGTTATCTAGACTTGAACGATAACCGATGATAAAGATGTTTATGAACTTTTTCCTGTTGCACATTGCAATAATAGTATTTTTCAACCTCGAAATATAGTAACTATATTAAATAATGATAAAATTACATAAATGGTCCATGTGGTTTACCAAAGGTCACAAACTCAATCCTTGCTATATTTTTTGACAAACATGACCCCATTGGTTTCCAAAACTTGCATGAATGATCTTTTTTGCTAACTATGACATCCCCAATTTCACGACCAGAAAAGACCGATTTATTTATGATTATTTAAAATCAGAGTATCATTTTTGAAGAATAATATTGTGGAATTTGTTCCCAAAAACATGATAATGATATTATCAAAGCATTTCCGAATAAATGTATTATATTTATATTAAAAACTTTGGGATGTCATTGTCAATACAGTAGATTATCATAAACAAAAATAATACAGGCCTTACAGACATCTATTATTCTACCGGCCTATAATCCATAAATCTCTCATCCGATCATCACACATGTGCTCTTGTGCCACTACTTGTAATATAAGAAGCTGAGTAGGTCATACTTGGGAGCCTGGTGAGCACATAGGATTTTCAACCTACAATAATTAAATTCTTGCAATTATATATTATCATCAAATCATTCAACCCAATTACCCATTCCCGTTATCCTCATTTTCTGTCCCTAAAACATCTAATTCAAGGAACATATCCTAAGGATCATCTTCGGGATAGACAATAATGCTCAGGGGATTCATTTGCAATATATGTCAATAAGGCAACCATTTGGGGAGGGGGGGGGGATGGAGTACACCTGCTGAACACTTAGTTCAAAAACACCTACATGTTGTTTATCAGGGGGCAATCTAGATAACACGTCTATCCCAAACTCTACTTGTAACAACGTAAATTTTCAAACCAAATTTTCTTCAAATTTTAAAACACATTTTTCTCAATTCAAACATCTCAAAAGTGTTATAGTATCAAATCATCCAACACATATCCCAAAAGCTGTATATATAACAAATACAGGATCCTCTCAAAACATGACTCAAATCTCTGATGTGTGTACAATCAAGCTGGCGCCTTCCCGTGATCCTGAGAAGTACCTGAAACACATAACACATAACACGGTAAGCACAAAGCTTAGCGAGTTCCCCAAAATACCACTCATATCTCATCAGCCTCTCATGGCTATACTCAGATAAGACCCTCTAGTCAAATGTGTCTCAGTGGGACCCTCTGGTCCCACAACTCAGATGGACCCTCCGGTCCCTCAACTTAGTAACTCAATATAATACACAACATACATATCACAAAGACAAATAAGCAGGATATCTCAATACACAGTATATACACATAAGACCCTCCGGTCACACATTGATTACCACTCAAGGTAAGTATAGTGAGAAGACTCACCTCATAAGAACTTGGATAATCTCGAACTCGAATCACCGGTCTAGCCTCGGCCTAACACAACGATAATAATCCCTAATTAATAAGGCTCTCACTGAAGCTAAACTAACCCTTCTACAAACTCACAAAAGGGAAAAAGACCATTTTACCCCTCTATGGCCTTATAGTCCACAAATTGACCAAACCCTAAAATTCAACCGAAAGTCAACGGTAGGGAGTACGCTGCGCATACCAACTCTCTACGCTGGGCGTACTCGGCTGCCATGCAGGCATCGGGGACGCTTGACCCCTACGTTGCGCGTACTGGGATTACGCCCAACGTACGTCCCAGTTTCACTCTCCTCACATTTTTGGTCTTAATCAGTTAAGACCTTGGCTCATATCACAGATATGGACTCCCTAATATCTCTTAATCCATAAAGTTAGTGACTTTAAGCCTTTGCATGGCTGATTAGGTCACAA